CCAGAGCAAAGTGCTTTTATACAATGACCAAATCAGTTTATTTCAGAAGAGCTCGAAAGCAGCATTTGGTTACATCTCAGCCCTGCCTGCAAACAGAAAACCATTTCTCAAAATGCAGAAAGTGTGATTTCTCCCTGAAAGTATTTGTGACGCCAGTCAGTATTTCCAGACCAGCCATTTATAGCAGACATCTTACTGACAGGTTATTTGTAACACCAGCTCTTTGGACTGTCATCATAAAGGAAAGAATATTTTTGTCGTAAAAAAATATGCATGAGCTCAACACCGATTCATCACAGCTGAGCCTAAAGGCTCACCCTTCACATCTTTATAACAATTCCTGGAGACAAACAGAAAGTCATTTAAGTGTCAGCCAACACATCCCAGTGGCCATCTTTCCCCATCTGCCCACACAGCCCAGCAGCTCAGTCAAGCCTCTGCAGCCCAGGCACGAAGATGCCCATACACCACTTGTGCTGCAAGAGTTCAGCAAAAAAATATAATAAACACCTTTTACCAAAGAAGGTATTTCACCCAAGAGCACTGCTGTTTTCAGTCTTGTGAAGTTGCAGTCACAGGCTCAGGAAAGTAATTTCTCACTGTTCTAAAATACACTAGAGAAAAAAGAAACCTAAGAAGTTTAGGTTTCGAGAGTTCCTATTAATGCTTAACACAATGTTTTATACCTCTTGTGGTTTACGTCTTCGTCATATACAGAGCACTATATGAGTGAAGTCTAAAGTTTCATTACTGGCTTCACTCACAGTAGATTTGAGGCCCTGGATAATTAATGGCATTTAAATACAACTACTAGAATTAGGATATATTTTCATTTAAAACAGTAATTAAATAACTTTGGTTTCACAAGCTTTGAAAAAGGTATATAGAATTGCTTGTAGGGAATACATATTTACATCGATGTCAGTGGAGATCACAAGGCTGAGATTATTTACTCCTCTTAAATCCACCGAGAACCAAACACATCACCCTACAAACTTGGGGTGTGTGGGGATCCAGCTGTCACCTCTGCATAAAAGCCAAGACACCTTTATTTACCTGTAACTTAAACATATCAGCATAGGATTCTCACCCTTGAGCTTCAACAAATTGTGCTACACTTGACAAAACACTTCCAACTTTTCTTCTAAGTAGCAGGAACTGGCTGCCCGCCATTGCATCCAGCCCACAGATGCACTGGGCAGTATTTTGCAGCTTGTCAGCTCCCAAACAGGATAGCAGAACAATTGTTGACATTGAATTGGAAAAGCAACCATTTTCTTCCCCATTTATGCCTATTCTCCTCATTTCTCTGCCCTTTCCAAAAAGATCCAAGTCTCTACAAACCCTCCCAACCTCAACCCTCCCCCCCCCAACACCCCAAACCACACACTAAAACCAAGACCAAAACACACAAGCAAACAAACAAACAGACATAGTCTCTTTCTTAATTTAGGTATCACTATCATGGCATTTTCATTCCTGGGGTATAAGCAATGGGAGAGATGTCTCAGACCCCGGTGTTAGGGAATGGACATACTAAATAGGTACCAGACCAGACAGGAAGAAGCCAATGCTGAGTTTTCAGCTAATGCTGGAATAAGATAAGCCCCGAATGACACCAGGCATCTGGAAGTTGTCTGCAGTATGCATGGACAAATTGTTTTCGGAATTAGACAAAATCAAGTAAAGAAAAAAAATTTAAGAAAAAAAAAAACCTTTAGAGACAATAGAGGCAATAGATTTCACATTACTGAAAGAATAAAGTCAGTTCATCCCTACAGACCAATTCCAAATCATGTTTTGCAATTGTCTATTGAAAAGGCCATCTGGCTGCACTGCAGGCCCCGAACCAAAACATCTCGCATCTTTGGGGAGCATTAAACTGGATCCTGAAATTCAGCTTTTCTTCACACGGAAGATCTTTTCATAGGCTAGCTTCAAGGGTTAACTTCAGAAAGTTCCTCACACAAGTAGGAAGGCAAAAGGGACTTTAAACATTCCTCCATGAAGGTAATGGTTTAGGCAATTTCTGAGAGTGGATCAGATGCTAGTCAGCACTCTGAACTCAGCCCCAGAAAACAACAACTGCAAATTGTGGTGACTCATGTCGTTTGAAAGCAAAGCTTCCTTTGATGCAGAGTATTTTTCCTGAGGGAATAAGGGGAAAAGGACAAACGTGAAATGGAAAAACCCTACACCAACCACCGAAACGACACGCCACAGCACTGGGCAGCACTGGGAGACTGCGTGCAGGCCTCAGGCTGAAACCCCCCACTTCAGCGCTTGAAATGTCAACTCGAAATTCCTGAGGAAAGCCTACAGCAATACCCAGAACCCTGTGACACAGCAATAAGCCCCTGACTGGGAAACCGAAAGCAGGAGCTCGGCCTTTCCAAAGGCTCCAAGAGAGCAGACGGCATGGCAGCAAGAGTTCACTTCCAACAACAGCATTGCACCAAAGGCACTCAAGTCAGGATTTTTTAAATAAATAAAGCCAAACAGCCATTACAACCTGACGAAGGCTGAGCGCTGAAGCAGCCACGTCGAGCTCTGTCCACACCGCACGTGCCCAGGCGGGCCGGGGGCAGTGCCTCCTCAGGCTCAGCCGAAAGCCCAGAGCTGGCCCCTGGGCCCACCAGGCACCCACCCACCCAACCCTGGGAGTGGGACAGGCGCTGTGGGTCCCTGCGCCTTCCCCTGCCTCTGCTGACCTACTGCTCCATTTCAGTGTCAAAAACCTTAACCGAACAATTAAGAACTCAGCAGACAGTACTTTAAAAGTGCTTTTTAAAGACAGTATTTTAAAAAACAAAATCCATAAAGCTCTATTGTGAACAACACGAAAACAGAAAAACAAAGGAGTATTTTAATCAACATGTTCACACATTGAACATTTCTCTAAAATGGGAAAATTTTAAAATTAGAATCACATCCCTGGCTGGATTTATTGCAGCAGAAGAGCGGCCAAAGCTCAGTCGTCCTACGCACAGGAGAAACCTCCACAAAAGCGAACAGGACTGTGAATATTCAGCATTGTCTACATCAGACATTCTTTGTCCCAAAATGCTATATTCAAAGATATATTTAAGTGAGAATAAAATGTGTGGTAAAGCTAAAATAATGAAACTACAGTCTTGAGTGAAGATCTTTTCAGATTATTTGCTTTTCCTTCTGACACATTTTAAGCTGACACACCAGGAAACAGCACTGAAGTCAACTCCCTCCAATCACACCAACAGAGCAAAAAAAAAACCTGAGTTCTTTGAAGTCAGGTATTTTCTGCTTTCAAACAAACAGGGTTTTTACAAGAAATCCTTCTCAAGTTAGAGCAGATTTTGCAAAGCTTTAAAGTTCTCTCTGAGCAGGCTTCTGAACTGTCATTGCTGGTTATTATTAGTAGGCACAGAAATTCCCATTTTAATTAGAAACTTTATTTTGAAATACATTACACAGTTTACATGTGAAGTGCTTTCACTGTAAGATATTTCGATATTTCATAACATTGTGCTGAGCAAAACGGCTGACCAATTTCCTTTAAGCTCTTCCAGTTATGCTTCATTAAAGGTATCTTACAGAACTAAGATGCAGCTTAGGCATTTGGATTCAGAAGCTAATTACTATGTTTAACTTAGGGAGAAAGTATATACTTAACTGTTCCAATTAACTATGTGTTTCAATAATGACGTTAAGCATTTGGCATAAGACTGAAAGAAACGAGTCCTAATTAAACTTGTATTCACCAAAGATTAAACAAAAACATGATCAAACTACTTATTAATAAGGCACAGTCAGACAAGTATTTATAAAGACTGGCTGCCAGTTCAGTTTTACCTGCACAGCCTTCCTGCTGGTCTGTCAAAAGCAATCTGAAAGCTGTTTTCCCTGTCTGCTGCTGCAACTTTTCAAGAACAAGGCAGAGCAATAAGGCAACTAAAAGAACAGACATGCAAAGGAGTTGGGCATTTGGGATAGATTCTGAACATCTGCAAAGTAGTTCATTTTGTAAATGGAGCATTCACCTGTTGTTATTAAAATGGGGGCCAACCCTGATAAGGGAAATAGAAGTGGTACAAGCAGTGCCTATTTGCAAAAGGGTACTTTAATAGAAAAATCGAGATGTCTGATATGCTTCCAGGTAAAGACTTTCCCACAACTTTCAGAGATAATCTAAATTGAATTCTGAAATTCCCCTCTGCCACCCAGAAAAGCTGAATGTACCAGAAGATTGCTTGATGGCAGGTGAAATATCAGGGAATGAAATCTCCATTTAGATAATGAGCCAGTACTGCCATCCTACTTTGCATTTCTTATTAGAATGAAAGGAAGTCTTCAGGAATTATAATAACTCAAATAATCACACCATTATTTTGGCTGGAAGAAAGTTCAGGAACTCCTAAGATGTGATGATGTTTAAAGAACATGAAACAATTCTACCCACAGTCAAAGAATGAAAAACTAAAAAAAAAAACTAAAAAAAAAAAAAGGAGAGGCCTTACCTTCCCCTCAATTAAATCTTTGAGGAATAACTGCTTGAGCTTAGCACTGTATGGCTTCTGTGGCCTGTGAATGCTTGATAGATACTCCAAAAATTATAATTTTCAAGCTACTGTTGGTTTTCAATTTTAAGTCATTTCAAATAAAAATACTGCATCCATTTCACTTTAATAAACAAACTGAGCATAAAAATAATTAAAAGTGTATTTCTGATACAAATTTGTATCACATACTAAAAGATACTATTTTATAGATAATTGTAAAACAAAAAGAATTAGAATATACAAAAGGTTTTTAAAATTCTTTTGCACGGTTGAACTCATAGTGCAGGTTTAAGATAAAAAAAAGTCTGTAAATGAAGTAGTCATAACAAATGTTGAATATAAAATACACTCTAAAGTATTTTACAGAATGGCTGAATTATCAAGCGTAAGAACCGAGGACAAAGGATGTTGATGACAAGCAGCCACATACAGAACACAAAGCAATAAGTTTAAATCAGACTATTTTGGTTTCTGTAGCCCTTTATTAGCAACTAAAATAGATATCTGTTGTACATCACGGGTAGTAACTGACTATACTGGAGTTTTATTATATTCTAATACAGGATCATTTATAAATGCGTTGTTTTCCTTTTTTATCTTTTATTAAAAAGCTTCCACTCCTTTTTCCGTTTACAACTTGCAAAACTATTCTGAAAGCTGAGTACATGTGCACAGGTCTGCAAAGAGTGCAAATTTAGAATATGGTAAATGCTTTACATGTTGTATTTGTAAGGACTGTCTGCCACCGTGCCTTCATAGCCATTACCTTTTCCAAAAAAAAACAACCACAAAATGTTTCAATACCAGCCTTCCTTCCATTGTCCTAAACAAGAAAGCATTTTTAAATGAGTTGAAACTAAGGAAGGACTACACCTACTAGAAAAGAAGAGAGTTCTATTAGTTTGAGGTTTCAGTATACCCAAAGACCAGGGACTGTATCTTTGTAAGGGCTAGGCTGGGACCCCGTATACAGAGTGTGTGCAGGTGCCATCCCTGAGCATTCAGTGGTTCAGTGGACCATAAGTGCTCCAGCTGCATAACTCACTGAGCTGTCTTGCCAGCTTCGACACTGGCTTGACTGAGCATAATTCAAAAATGAAAAGCTCATATTCATTCCATTCTTCTGGAGCTCATTGATAGCCTGAAGAGAGGGAAAAAAAAAAAGCTGTTTAAAAAAATGTGTCAATGAAATTATTACATTTTCTAGATCTCAGTCCTCCCCTTACCCAGGGGTCCTTGCACCATCTCTCATAATAATATAAGCACCTCCAAGCAATTTGTGGACCTAACCCAATTCTGTGCCATTTCATTCAGTGATTCTCCCCCCACTGCACTATGTACATTCATGCAGTTCTAAAAGGTAATACCAAACAACCTTTCACAACAGATCCTTTAGAAACAATGCTTTCAGTTCCATAGGGAATCTATACAGAAACACCGATGTAACAAAAAAACCCCCACAACATTATTAATGAAAGAAATACAATCTAAAAAGTGTTAAGGAAAAAGAACGTACCAAGATAATTTATTGAAGTGTGACAACGGACAAAAGTGAATGAACAGAATTTAGCTCAGATTCACTGCAAAGTTAATCATTATCTCAGGCAGAGTTGGATATTTTTGCAGAGTTGTCATAGTCTGAATTTTGCTACATGCATCCCTAATATTGATATTGCTCATACAAACTCTATAGACTCCCGTTTAAAAGGTCCCTCATAGACTACATTTCTGGTGAATTAAAGTTTTCTCTTTTAAAAAGGTTAACATACTTCCCATTTCAGACTTGAGTTACAGTAAAAATACAGTGAGATTCATTCAAGCAATATGAGAAATCTACAGCACTCCAGCAGTGCTGTAAAGCAGCTGTGACCCAATTTAGACAACTAAGTTAAGCCAGGTTTATGTCTGCACTGCATCACCAAAGCAGAATACAGCAACTAGACAGCACCAGTTAATCTGAATTCTAATTGCCAGTAATCTAGGAGTTAACGGTGCACTGCACTAATACTTGGAGAGGCAATCTCTCATCATATTTGCAAAACTCAAAAATACTGCCAGACATCACAAGGCACTCACAGTAGCTAGCTAACAGCAATACAGAAAAAATATATACGTTTGTAAGTACCGATTCAGAAGAGTATGTATGTGCTTTTTCAGGGAGATAGATTTATTTGTTTGTTCATTTAGGGCCAAGAGAATTATTGTGTTTCATTGTAATCCAAAAGGACCATGGTACCTCATCTCCCTTATGAAACTGAAAACCCCAAGCCCTTGCAAAAGCTTAAATCTGTCTATATGCAAGATATGGAAATTGGACACTAAGTTGAGAACACCTGGAAAAATAAATTAATTCAAGACTTGCCATTTTAGAAACAAGGAACAGCCCAGCAATACTGTATCTAAAACAAATGTAAGCATTTTTCTGAAAGTTACATTTTTCAACAACTCAAAAGTTACTTACATTTAATAATACACCAATAGGATGTCTTCCACATATTGTATTATGGTATTTCTTCAAGTAATTGCTAAAAGATACAGGATCTAGCTGCTCTATAATGCTCATACCCTGAAAAAGAATCGATAGCAATGATTACTTCACTCATTCATAAGCAGGTGTTTATACATCACCTATTTATGACAACACAATACTTCAGGAGGAAAAAGCCTCTACTTTGTATAAATGGTACCAAGGGAATCTCAGCACATAAGCTCTAACTTGTAGTCAACTTGTTGCCATCCCTTGCCAAACTAAAAGTGCAGGAGCTCTTCCAATGCTGTCAATGATCCACAGATTTGTAAAGCTATCTTTGCAGATACCAGTGAAGCTCATGTTAAAAAAATCTCCTCCCGCAGACTAGCTGATCCCCAGGTCCAAGGGTGCCTGCCCTACTTCCATAGGATTTTGTACAGCAAAAGGGGCAAAGCAGGAATAAGTTTTGACACCATCTCTTCTCCCTGGTAACAGAGCTCAGAGCTGAGCACTTGCCTGGGACTTCTGGATGTCCAAAAACCCTAGACAAATCATTAATATACACACACGCAATTCAAGCATGTAGCAAATGCAATGTATCCTAGACACACGAGGCATGCCAGGCAGCTGATCTGGGCACAGGCTGACCATCTGCTCAGATCATAAAAAGCAGATCCAGAACATCTCTAAAGCACTAGAAAGTCAGTGCATGATGGAAACATAAGAGCCATCCACTGTACATGAAGCAGTCACATCTACACATACTTTTCTCCATCCACTGTGACACTAATGATCCCACAGAGTCATATTATGAAAACCGGAACATGTATGGAAAACAAAACCTTGCACATATACAAAAATTTGCATTCTTAAAAGGAAAAAGAATCCTACAACTCCAGATACAGCCTATTCTTACCGCATCCCACAGAGCAGATCAAACACAATGAAAGTAGTTTAAAGCAAGTCTAAATCATGGCTTTGCTATTTTGCCTGTATTAGACTCCATCCTCTTGTGTTTTTCCTTCCTCTGAAAATTATAATCCCCTTCACCAGGTAAATGAGCTCCAGTGATTCACTAATTCAGTAAGAATTCTCTGCTTCTTACATGTAGCTGATGAAACAGGAAGGTTTTCCTTAAGAGTCTGGAAAAAGCATACACTTTGCATGTGAACAATGGGAGGTTGATATCAGACAGGGAGAGAATTTCTCCTAAGGTTTCTGCGATTGCCCCAACCCCATACCCTGCTTTTGGAAAAGTGTAGGTGATAAAAAGAGAAATCATGATGCAGGAAGCAGTCAGCCTGTCTGAAGTCTCCACCTCAAGAGTGAAACCTCCTGAATACTCTGCAAGGGTGTTGGCTGATCTAGCAGATACGCTGATTATTCCGACCAGACCACAGCTTACAATGGAAGAAGAATGGAAGAAGCTGGAGATTCCCAAGAGAGTCAGGGAGGATTAGAAAATAGCAACTATAACCACCACTTTTGCGTACTTTTAATTAAAAACAGACAGAAGATTAATTCATAAAGAGATAAATTTTATAGAAAAATAAAATCAAACTATTCTGACCAATTGCTGGCAAGAGCTCCATTCTTCCAGTGTCATGGAGAGGGTGTTCAGACCCCTGGCCAGTAATTACAGCTGTTACTCACTCCAGGTCTACAGAACTTAAATGAGTGCCAAAAAAATAAAAGTAGCTATTCTCTAACTAGCATTGATTACATAGATATCATTGCATTTCTAAAGTTTAAGCAGCATGTCTCTGAACCATCCATTTACCTGTAAACTGTACATGTCAATACACAGCTAAAGAAAGCAGAACCAAACTTAACTCCATACTCAAGTGAGACTAAACATGCATAAGGCACTTATTCAAATACTGAACAGCTCATAACAATATATTTTATCCATTTGTAAATCCTTTTATGACTTTTTAAAAAATGAAAATGTCTGCTCAATTGAGAGACTCATTTTATTGCTGCAAGTTACTGGAATATACCGGGCAGAGGCATTTGAGCATTTGTCTCAAATGAACGGACATGAATTTATCAGAATGCCTAGCAAGCTTATTTCCATGCACAGTTCAGCACTGCAAAACATTTAGAGCTACGCAGTTCATCCCAGCAAATGCTAACAGAGCTCCATACGTCACGTATTGGAGAAAATCCATAGGAAATGGGTATTACCCATATCCTATAAGCACTCAGCTGTACTGAACTTTTCAACCTTTCAGACTTAAAAACCGTTGTGGCAGAGGAGCAAAGACTACCAAGCTTGTTTCTCAGTCTAAAATGGTGTTGAGGAACAAAGGAAACATTTCTGTCAGGTTGTAGTTTATTTTTCTAAAAAGCAGAAGTATGAAGCTAACCATTTTCAGTATTCTAAATCACTCAGCTAGGCTTGCTTTAGAACAGAGCTAAAATACACAAGAAACTGCACATGATAAAAATGCAAACCATCACACAATTCTGCAGTTTATCACATGGTTATTATGGCACCACATAGAAATGGTGTATCTCAGTTAACCAGACACTGTAAATGGCACCTACAATATCCTATCTCAGTGCACTTAATACAATTAAAAGCAGTTACGTGCTTAAATATCATCCCCTATAGGACCAAGTATCTACAAGGTTACAAAAAACCAAACCCCAATCCACAGGCATATTTTATATTATATTCCAATAACCCTTTGCTGGTCAATCTTAAGCCTGCAACCAGTTCCTTCAGCTGCTTCTTCACATTTAAAAAAATACAAACTAGTAGCACACTTTTGGAAATAAAAATAAACTTGGTCTTAGCATTAGCCAGTCCAACTGTCTTTGCACGTGGGAGTCACTCAGGCTAGAAGACAAACAGCCAACAGGAAAATTACTGGCTGGGCACAGCAGACAGAGCAGGGAGCTGGGCCCCCAAGGCAGAGAGTCATGGTCGTGCATTATGCCCAAACTAAGAAGCCTTCCCAGACTGGAGCACTGTAGAAGGTGTAGGCACACCGTAGCAGCACCACAGAAGCTACCAGGATTCAGCAGTTCATTAGAGTCACCTGAGAAGCCACCTATGATGTGCACAGCTCCTGCACAACAGCTGCCGGCTGCTCCTGCTCAGCTCCCGTCAGTGCCTGCATTATCCTCCTCCTTCAGCATTCAGGGGAACAGAATCCTGCTATTGACTCAAGCGAGGTATAAGGTTTCACAAGTAGATATAAAAGGAGCAATCTGGCAGTGAAGATTGAAGCAAGCAGTCTGCATTTTCTGGCTAGCCATAATCAAAAAATAATTAGTCTTCAACAACATCTTCAACAGACTACTCCCCCACTTTTATTTAAAAAGATGGTAGGTAGCACACTAGGATACACAAACAAATTATTGCACATCAGCTTCTCAATTATAACTCTTCATTTGAGGATGCTTCCCTGAGGTACCCCTATTAACTATGGGGTTGTTTACTCCTTTCACCGTTGCTTCACAAGGTGCGCTGTGGTACCCCCAGGGTGACGGCGGTCACATTAAGAGTTACCATGGAGAAACCAAAGTCTGCCCAGCAATATTTACTACTCTGTATTTTTTTATGCTGGAGTCTAAGGACTCTAACTTAAAATCATAGCAAATAAAATTTCTCACAGTGGTTACTAGGTTAGTAAAATCTTCAATGCCCAAGGTGTTTAGCATTGTTTATGCACTAGCAAGGAAAATCATCGTGCATCTGTACTTCAGGTCCAGTCTAAATAAGGAAGAGATCATTGTCCTCCCACGAGGGTATTTCCAAGGAAAAGTAATTTCATTTTAACCCAGAATATTTTCCGGCTTACAAAGTGCTCAGCCGACTGCTTTCCTAGTTAGGTCCAATAAAATTATTGGGACAGTAACAGCAGAGGTTAAAACCTCTGACGGTTTTAGTACAGTTCTGTCTCTATCTTAATGCTATTTTCTCTGCGGAGAGGTCTAGTGGTTACAATAGAAGTTTCCTCAGCATGCCAAATTACATTAAAAATTCAATACTTTATCTACAGACACAAGAAGTAATTGAGTGGGGCATACAAAATTGAATAAACTCTTTCCAAAAGCTGGCGAAACGTGACAAGGAGATCTTTGTGGCATTGAGGATAGCATCCCAAGTGTACCGACAATACTGCTAAAAAGAAATTTCTGAAATTCACTGAAAGGAAAACTTACTCTGTACAGAGTTTGAATATAGAGACATGTGTTCAGGTATGGCACGCTATAAACAGGCAAAACCAAGCACAGTATACTGCTAAGCAGCATCTTTAGTTTTCCAGTTAAACTTAAGAATGAAGAAGTCTTTTTATAGTTATTAAATAGTAGACATAATTTTCAATGTTACAAAAAAAAGGTCATTTCCTTCTGGCTGAATAACCACTAAAAGAAACGAGTTGGTACAGCAACGTATTCACCAAGAATTATTAAGTGCCAAAGTCCAGTTTCTCTCAGCTTTCACCACAGAAATTAACAAGGGGAAACTACTGTTTGCTAATGCACCTTCATCTGCTCTCCTGCAAAAACACTCAGAGCTGCAAATTCTGGGACTCCGCAGAAAAACACTTGTCTTTCTAGAGAAACCTCTCAACTCACAACAAGAATTATTAAAAATGGGATAAACAGAATGAAGGCAAATTATTTACTGCTTCCTTTCCAGTGATGAATAGTGGAAAAACAAAGAGGTTAATATGGATACAGAAAGCAAAAAACTCAAGAGATCTCTCCAGCAGATAGGATTTATTCCTTCATGATAAGGAAAAAAAATACATGCCCTGAATAAATAACACAGTTCTCTCTTCTAACAGATTTTACAGAAGTTACATAAATGACCCAACCAGTTTTAAAACAAATTTTAAGGTCAAATATTTCCAAAAGAATTACTTCTATTCTGTGCTTTAAGCATAATCTCGAATGTTAACTCAATCTTTTAATTTAAAAATAAATCCTTGTCTCCTCTGACTGCAAAGAAAATACAACATAATTGACATTATGATCTTCATGTATTTAGCATTCCACTCAGCTGTTTGCCAAACCCAGAATGAAGTATGGTCTACTGCTATTCCCCACCACCTACCAGAGAGTAAGGGGTGAGGGGAAGACTACTCCCAAGGAAATTATGACTTTCATTTACCTGACCAGCACAATCCCCTACAGTCTTTTCCTCCTCAAGATGGATGTTGCTGAAACCATTAGCATAATCACAATGCTGTTTCGATATGCAGGTATCGTAGCTATCCAGCCTGAACTACCACAATACTTGATCCATAATTCTTATTGCTTCTCAAAAACATAAGAAGGTATGTGGACAGGAATTACATTACACTAGGGCATTTTAGGTAGGTGAACATGCATTTATTCTCATCAATTGTGCTCACTAGATTATACCCACAATATATTGTGCACAGTCAGTAAAATGGAGGGTACTAGGTAAAAACAACAGCTAAGTTCTTATCATGGTAAACAAAGGAAAAGTATACATTCAATAAAATAGCTAATCTATAATATTTTGTTAGAGAAATTTCTAAAGTGTTCAAAGAAATGTAATGTACAGGAGAAATTTGTTAGTTAGTTCCACCAAATCTGAAAACTTACCATTTTATCTAGGTGCTCAATGGATCTATAAATTTCTCCTTGGGATTCATCATAGTAACTGTAACGGAACCTCTGACCTTGAAACAAAAACCATGTATAAAATAAAAAAGGGAAAAATCGTAGCTAAAACACTCCCTAGCACTTACTAAATAATTGAAATTATAATATTTGTAAAGTAGTAATCTCCATTTATTTTATACTTTTTAGCTCTACTGAGGAAATTTTAGGGCAATCAAAGTAGCAGCCCAGAAGTGAAGTAAAAAATACATGATGGGCAGCTATATTCCTGAGGAAAAACCTACTATGTAGAACTGACACTGCAGTATCACTTATTAATTGCTTGTTACTGCCTTGGAATCCAATTCTATAAATTAAAAAGTAAAGCAACATTTTGTTTCGCTATCCATCTTTACAAAGTCAACCCTGGAGTCAGGCTACTTCTGCTTGCACTACAATACACACAGTAAATGAAGGTTAAACAAAAAAGTTAATGGTAATTCAATGAACAGTTCTAGATGGTTCATTAGCCACAACAGAACCCAGGTCATTCTTATATACCTCCACCTTTTCCACAATTCCAAGACAAGTGAAATATGCACTTAATTACAAAAGTTGAACAAAGATGATAATGAAAAAAAGGGAAGAAGGTCTGTTGCGTAATGTAAAACATATCTTTCTCAAGCAGTCCCTTTTCCAGCTATTATCACACTTAAAAGAAAAAATAAAGTGTTAAAGCAGGACAGAAGTCAAGGCTTTTGGAGTCTTTATAGCTCTGCCACCAAGATGAACTGGGATAGCTCTGGTGAATTGACATAAATACTCCATCTGCTATCTTAGCCAGCAGTAAAATATACAAAACTTATTTCCATCAGAGGGATGTTGCCATGTCCAGTGAATTTTTAGCTAATTAGTTTTGCAAGTTGCTTTGAGGTGCTTAAAAGAAGAGTAAAAAGAGCACGAAACTTCAGACACTTATTTCATTGCAACAGTAAAGAGATGCATATAAACCCATACATCTTCACCATTTATTTCTTCCACTACACTGAAAACACATTACCACACTAATATTTTTCATCTATTGTTCCAGATTAAAAAAATAAAAATTTTTTAGCTTCATAAAAGCATTTCAGTTTCAAAGATACATTTACAGAAGTTAAAACGTTCAATGTTTAATAAAATACATTATTTGAAAATCACTACAAAACATTCATCATACTGTTACAATGAAGAGATGTGAAACTTACCCCAGTGGCAAAAGTCAGAAGAAACCACAAAGAGGTTACTAGGATCAGCTAGGTATTTACTGAAGAGTTTTCCAAATTCCTGCTCTTTTGACTCACTCAGTGCTCCGACCAACACAGGAATAATAGTAAACTCATCCTTATGGCTTATAAGCAAAAGAAAAGAGGTTGTAATTCAAGTAACTTCTGAAGTTTTTTCAGGGCTTGCTAACTGAAATTGCAGAATGTTTTAAAAGGCCACTACTGAAATTGTTTTAGAGCCTGAAACTACTTCAATTACAGAAAACAAATCCCCCTCTAAAACAGTATTTATCTTTGCTGCAAAGTGAAAACACCAGGCAAACAAAAGGAAAAGACACAATGAAACCTGCAATAAAGAATGATTTTGTCCCTGTATAGATGCTGCACAAATGGTGGGTAATTTTGCAACGTATATGAAAATGCTAAAGATAGCACGCAGATGTATACTGATACTTTAGGGAAAATTACAAATAATATGGAAGAAATGTTAAAAAAAAGACAAGGGGGAGAAACCTAACAATCATAAATTGACAAAAATTATCAACTTTGAAGAAAAATTATTCAAAATACTAATCTGAAATAGCAGGTGTAAAGAGAATCCTGATTTCAAAATTAGTATTAAGGCTCCAAACAAAATCTCACAGAAAACACCTATTAGTATTTGATCTTCTTTCAGAGATGTCTTGCAAAAATGAAAAAAAATCAGCTAACGTGAAAGATTCATGAAAGCATGTCTAATATTAACTCTATTAAGTCAACATAAACATATAAACTTGTTTATAAGGGGTGTTCCAATTTCATCATTCAGGTGTTTGCTCCACTCACGGTTTCTATTACAGCAACTAATCCTAGTCTCTGATCCTCTCTTCCCCAAAAATTTTTACTGGGGGGTGGGGGAGTGTCAGTATTACACACCATATAGGGTATTTTATACCATAAAGGGTATTATTATTTCCTACTGCACTTCACATGTCTTTCAAATATTTAATATGGTTTAATGCTCATTCTTGTAGAAGAAGTAATTAGCCCTAGTACCTTTCCATGGCTTTAGCAGTATAAGGCAAATGCATTTCAATACTGTGTTCATCTTCATCTGTCTGTAGGGACATACGCTCAAACATTCCAGTCTTCCACAATTCTCCATAAACTGAAATGAATTAAAGATTATTTTTTACTACTTTTTTTTTTTTAAACACTGTAAAGCAAGCTATAGCGCATCTTTATCAGAACAAGCCTACTATAACAAATTACTTGCCTCCAAAGGCTGTCATCATAAACCACTTGTTTTTAAATAAATTCAGGATTAAAATAACGTTCAAGTCATGAAGATACAAACAGAATTGATTCAGTTTACAAAATAAGTGTGGTAAATCAGTGATCTTGTTAGTATATTGAGATTTTCAGTTGACACAAAATTTAAGTAACACAAACAAAACCTATGAAAATACACATGCATTTGCCCAGCCACTGAATTCTTATTTTCACAAACCACACCATATGTTTTTTTAAAAAAACCCCAAAATTACTGATCAGCTGAGCCACTGCTGGATGTATTACTATTTAATACAATTTATTATTAACTGAATCATGAAATCTGGCGACAGCAAAAACTGATTAAGCAATCCATGTTTAGAAGTTAACTTTTCTATTCTCAAGTGTGCTTGCTGGTATGCATTTTGAAAACTCTCCACTGGATGAGGAATTTGATGTAGGGCTGTGCCTCCTTCTCTGCTTCATAAAGGAGTTCTACAGAAACGGAAAGATTTGTTACCTAAGGAAATTTCTACAGGCACTATGCAGAAAGCCTGAACTAGCTTGTTTAATCAGTCACGACAAAATAGCAATACATCTGCGCTGATTAGCCCTTCTGAAAACGATACTATATTATTTAGGTATGTCTCAAAACACATGAAAGTCAAAATATCAAATTTATCTTCATTGTACCTTGTATTCCACAGATTAACAGTGTTTAAGTTCTGTAAGTACTCTGACAGTTAAAAAAAAAAGTCACGTGCAATAATGCATCCAAATAAAAGCAGCTTTTTGCTCCTCTATTATTCCTGTATCAGAAATAAACTCAAACCAGCTAAAGTACTATCTTTTTTGCAGACAGAATACTTCATACAATAATGGAGCAGGCGTGTAGTGGGCTGTTATGAAAATGTAACACTTTTTAATCTTGAGGTCCCTTTTAAAGATCACTTGTCAAGAAGCACATACTCATAATGGAAAAGATAAAGATTGAGAATTCTTTACTTGCAGGAGCAAGAGAGACACTAAGGTTATAATATAGCAAAGCCGACAACCACCTGGATCTTTCAGAAGTTAGCTTTCATTGCAGTAAAAACAGATTTATACTTGTATGCCACTTAAAACCAATGAAGTGCCCAACAACAAGAAAGTCCTCAGCACTGCAGTCCCACAGTTAATACTCAAGCCTCAGCAATCTTCAAGATGTAAGCTTTATCAAGCACTTACTCTTTTGGTCAATTCGGAGATCATACAGAGGTGTTCTATAAATGTCCACACTGGAAAGTGCACATCGGGAAAGGGGCACGTGATGGGATGGCCCAAGAATGAAAATTTTTCGGCTACAACAATTAACACAAAAGCCCACAATTTAGACAACTGCAATAGTACACAGACTTGGTTTACAGTAACAAGCTAATAAAAATGTACAAAGTGATACCTTCTGGTGGTTACCAACACAGTTTAACTCTGCTATGTGTTAAGACCACAGACCATGTCCTAGCCTTGCTCAGTATCTCAGAAATGATCATGAGGCCAGTTCAATGTTTCCTGTAGCCTTAAACCTCTTAAGCAGGTTATGTATCACAGGGCACTCATCAGCTACAAATCTGACTGGACTCATTTGGAGGCTGAATGATGTGTTAGAGCCTCTTAGAACAGACTTTTTGATTCTCTCCTTGGACCAATACAACCTTCCGTTACATACCACCTTTAACAGCTACAGGCATGTGCCCTCAAATGAGGATTATGGATTTATCATCTGTTCAGAGCTTTTCACTTATTTACTTCATTAGCTTTACTTCAGATTTCACTAAATTAAAATTTAAGTAACTCTCAAAAGCTGTTTTTATCCAGCTGTTGTATCAACAACAGGGGCTTGGACCTGCGCATTCGTAGCTTTAGCTGATACTGCAAGCTTTCACACGTCATCATGATGTTATTTCCTCAAGTCCTCAGTTCCTGGCTCTTGATTGGATGTTAAGGGTCTCCTGCCACAGGACTTAAAGAAAAGAAAAACAAAACCTATAGGATATTCAGCTTTTCAGATTCAGAATTGTATCATCTTGTCTCCAGCACTAAACTGAAGGGGTGGGAGCCATGTAAAGATTTTTTTTTCCTTACATGTTGAGTGCTATAGCAAGCTATATAAAAATACTAAAACTTTTCACAGAGCTCGTAGAAACAAAATATCCAAACGAGCAATACTTCAGCTGAAAGATAAATTCTAAACATCCACTTGGTAAAATAGCAAATGCTCCAGAAAGTTCAATCAACTCCATGTTGCTGAACCTGGAGAATGCAATTCATTCTAGAAATTTTAGAGAAACTAGTTATCTGTCACACCATAAGTTATCATCACTTTGTTTACGATAGTTTGGAAAGAATCAAAACCATTGTCTGTGGAGAGCATTACAACATATTATCTCATAAGCAACTGATAGACATAGTTAGTTTTTATATTAACATTGCAAAATACACACTTTGAGTAAACAAACTTGAGATGTTTTAAATTTTTGTCATTTAAAAAACGTTGCAGTCAGCAAAACACAGAAGAATTATATTCCTTTAAACTAAAATAACTGGATTTGTATTTTCAGAGGCAGCCACAGACTACAGTAGCATGTTGAGTTTTTTTTTTTAATTTTTCTTTTTTTAAACTGTTGTGCTGTTAGAAACACAGGTCCATTTACAATTATTACAAGAAGTAACTTTCACTGACTTCAAATATTATATATACACACTGGTCACTTTCTCCACAGCAGAAGACAATCCTGGTAGCATTCAGCCCATAATCCTGCACTGAAAAACCAATGCAGAATCATGATCAAATATTTTAATATACTTAAAAGCCAACCAAAACCTCCCAACAAAAACAAAAGAAAAAAAGAAAAAAGACACTCTGCGACAAAGAAGCCCCAGCTTGGGCTTTCATAAAAGCAGTAGAATCTCAAGCAATACAGTACACTAAATGTTATTACCTGCAAAAAGAACACCTTTAACCCCTCTCTTCTAAAAAGTTAGTTGCCAATAATTTTTGAAAATACTGCTTTACATTTTCAATTTCAACAATACTACATTAATGTTTTCTTTTGTAACATTCAAACACTTTGAACATTTATGATGTTAAAACAGAAGGGATCCATAAAAGACTAAAAAGAGTACAAAATTAAAATTTGAGTACTTCATGGTGTAAGAATGTAAAATGACCATTCAGCTTCTCAGAGAATTGCAATGGCATTGTCTTCCACTTTGTAAAGAAAAACTTCAATACTTACGTAATATTAGGATCCACTTGTTTGTAAGCATGGGCTGCACAAGATCCACAATAGGTATATCCTGCATGGCTGCAAGTCAAGGTGTACAAAATGTTAACATGTTAAATATTAACATCTTAAATATGTTGATATTGCTTTTAAATGTTAATATCTTAAATGTTATTTCTCCCCAATAAGCTAGAAATAGTAAGAGTGATCCAAAAATCAACTCCTGAAAGAGCTGGAGAGCACTGCTGCAGTTCTGAAGTATGAGACATCATTGTTAGAGTACTATCAGTGACCATTGACTTCTAAGTTAGTAAGCCTCCACGTAAAAGCACCTTTCCTTATGTATAAAAGTAACTGTAACTACTGTAGGCAGACTACACAGCTGCATATTATCTGAAGCTCATGATAATGCTAAAGTGCAGCCAAGGGACAAGGGAACAGCAAGCTGCTGGAGAAAGCTCTTCTAACCACACTCCAGTAACTGAACACGATGAGAGTAGAGGGGTCTGGCAAAGAGGGACTACACGTTACAGAAGATAAATGGAGAATAAAAATGCTATCATTGAAGAAGAATACCTCAGCAAGAGAATGAATGGGCACAAGGAAAGGAGTGGAATGCAGCACAGTAGCTTTTACAGCAGAGAATGCAAAAGAAGAAGCCTGTAGAATACTTCTTCCATTTTATCCCTTATCCAAAATCTTATTTAGAAACCACATGACATTCCTTTCGGCTAAATGCTGGCTTTCATCAGTTTTCAAAATCACTCAATATAAAGAAGCATTTAATCAATCAAGGATTATATATACTAAAAACAGATTTCAAACTTACGGTGCAATAATGGCTCTAGCAGGTCTTTTTGTGGACTGTACTTGAGAAAGCCAGCCTTCTAGTTGTGCATTCAGCTGGGGTCCTGTGAAGAGACAAGGAAATCCTGAAGCCACTGAAGAATTTAAAATACCTCAAGAATTATTAAATAAAGTCCAAAAGTCCAACAGATTTAAAATAATCTTAAACATCATAGCCTGTCTTTAGATCTCAAAAAAAAAAATAAACCCAACACGCTTGTAATGTTGAAGGTTACAGTAGGAAAGTTTCAATCTCCTAGTCCAGGAAGTTCATTTATTGCACATCCAAACACACACTTATTGTTTTTTGCTCTGTGGACTGATGCACGTACCATTCATCACTAGAAAGGACAGCTGCTGATCTCAAAAGAGAGGCTAACAGAAGTTTGATTCCTCTGGTAACCATATTTGCAGAATTCAGAAGTAAAAAGTTAAGACGACCTATACCAAGAGAGCCCGATATGGGAAGATGATACAATACAAAGACCTTACACACTGACATGACAGCCAATGGCTATGGTATTTAATCTTTTATTATTATCAAGCAAGCATAACAGCAGAACACAAAGCACACTGTGGCCTGGAAAAACTGTAAATACACAGGAAAAAGCTAAAAGTGAGAACACACCATGCTTATACTAATGCCTTAACAACTTCTGATCAATCAACATATACTACAAGTACATAAGCTTCTTGCAACATTAACTTTGATAGTTAGTCAATCCAATATTTAACTTTTTTTTTTTAAACTAAATTCTGTATCTCAACAAGTGGCAAACATTCTCAATTCAATTAGCTGACAGGTGGTAAAAATGCCTTCTAGAAATACAACATTAAAAAAAAAACCCACATTTTGGTTATTTCCCATTACGAAGAAAACTTTTTGATGTAGTTATTCCTGAAGAAGCAAGTCTGGCAAATACAGTGCAACATTTTTTATATTAAAGAACACAAAAACTTTTAAGCAAAACTCATTCAGCTGCTATTGTTACAAATAACATCTTAACAAAAACAGATGCACTTTTTTCAGTTGACATTATGCTTTTTGACATAAGTGTTTATTAGCAGAGTTTATCTGTAAAGTATGGTGCAGTAAGCTGCTTTTCTTCCACCATGCATCTTGTAGATTTTTGTATCTTCCCCGTGCAGGTGTAAAACCACCAACTGCCAGGAAAAGTAAAAACCAAATTAAATACCTGAAACTATTTCACAGCCGTGTTCCAAACAGCCCAGATTTCAAGCTGACAGCTCTCCAAAGAGCTGACAAGAACTACAGAGAACTGGAGCAAAGATGTCAACTTTTGCAGAACCCAATCACTCACCAGCGATAGCCAAAAAGCTTTCTCTAGAAAACCCAGAGGGTGTCAAAGCCACTGTTTTTTTAATATAAAACTTAAATTCATGTGTTTCATAAAAAAAAGGGATGACTTCTGTGGCTGTAAAGAACCCTACCCGCTTATATGGAGAAGGTGAACTAGTGCAATGCTGTTTCCCAAACCTACAATCACCTTGGATGCCTTAGTTGCTGTCTACAGCGCTGCTGTAATACAGTGACTCTGTGAAATGATGAAACTGTCAAAAAAATAAAACACACACAAATTTTGCTCCACTGCTTCTGTTGCCAGGGAAAATCACAAGCAGCAGAGACATGCAATAGTGATAAGGATAATGACATCTTAGAAAATGGAGGCTGTTGGGGAAGCTAAGTAAAAATGAATAGATCTCTATTTCCATCCTCCTTCTAAGCTACTAGGAGACTAACAAAGCAGTAGTGTATTACAGTCTTACCACTTTCATTTTTTTACACACTTAAGAGTGAAGACACGAATCACTTAAAAACAAACTTGACCTCCTACTTGTCCTGAAGTATGTAGAAGGATAAAGTACTTCCTGAATGAAGCTCTTTAGGACAGAAATTATTTTTTTCCCCAAACATCTACTACCCAGAGACTTAAACAAAACATGACTCTGCTCCACCCAACCTCTTCTCCTCAAAGAAGATCCACAGGCAGCACAACAGCAGACGGGCCAGAACCTCTCAATCAAACCAAGACAGCCTTGAGACTCTCTTCCCCAACAAGGCACGGTGGTCAGCCTTCCTCCATCCCTTCTTTAGCGAGGATTTTTGATTAAGAAGGTGGTTAAGACAAATCAGGCAACTTGCTGAACAGTTTAAAGACAAAGTTCAGAATCTCTGATAATCTCTTAAAATTCCATATGAGTGTTCAAAGCTGGCCAAAACTTCTGATCTGGCAGTGCAGCAGCAGCGTGAGATGCCCAGGTTTGCACAGTCTGCGATTACAGACACACACGCTCTGACAAAGCAACATACATTTTTTTCCTAGAGGCAGTAAAATAACCTATCTGGATGACCCAAGGGACGAAACTTCTGTCAGTGTTTACTTAAGGACCAGGTAACACATCTGCTTTCAGGTTTTTTTTCTCTTTAATGCATCTGCAGTGTGCCTTTTTAAATCATTAACCCCAACCTCATGCAAGTTTCCATATCAACTAACACTTATTTGTACTGTTTTAAGAAAACATTTAAACAAGTATCTCTCCAAAGGACTAAAAAAAATAGAAAGGAAACTACAACAGATCCACCTAACCTTTTAACTAAATAAAAACAACAAAAAAAAAATCAAACTGCACCCACACGAACTGGTAGGAGTATAGCCTACCTGCAGCTTTCAGTGCTTACAAATACTCTGAGGATATTCTAAAACTGCAGTTTTCTTGTTACCAAATTAGCATCAACCTTTTTTTTTTTTTTTTGAGCTGTTCAGAGAAGTTTTTCTTCCAATTTATCAAACATGACAATGCTTAAGGCTAAAGTCAAAATATTTGAATTGGATATACACAATATAAATAAACCCACATTATCACAGTGGATATGCTCTGCCATATGGAATTCTATTACAGGAGACAAGGAGCTTCTTCATGAAGAGCTCCATAAGTAAGTTTTGTTCATATGTAAATTAGGTTAAACTGTAAAAAAGTCTTTGCAAATAGTCACTGAGATAACTGCAGTAAATATCCAAGTCCTAAGCTGACAAGCACGGGCGAGGAACACAAGGAACAGCGCTGCCGCCCGTGTACCCTGCTGCTGCTGCGGTGGGAAGTGGGAGAGGTCCCTGCTCCCGGAGCCGCGGATGGACAGCCCAGCCGGAGAGCTGGCAGGACGGGCACAGCCGGGTTTTTAAGGCTAACCCAGAGAGAAAGGCTTATGGATGCAACTTCTGGATGCAACAATCAATACACTTTAGCCTGCCGTAAGATCAGACCTTTTACTGATTAAATGAAGATTAGGCAGCAAAATACGAGCTTCACTGAAGCACGTAACATTCAGATCTGCATTTCAGTCCTATGAAGTAAGGTATAAATATAGGTATACAACTAAAGAATGCTGACATTCTCTGTGGATATTTCACATCCTGTTTTATTTTGGAAACTGGCAGAAATTATGCCAAATTAAAAATAATTGCAAGCACAGACCATGTTTCCACCAGACAAATTTATGGATGCAGCTACAGGCAGCATTTATTCAAATATCTTGCCTAAAAGGATAAATTATTTTTACAATCAACGTTATCCCCTCACAAAGCAATAGAGTAAGAAGGAATTCTTCCATGTTAAACACATGCCAGTGTTACCCAATGAACAATAACACAGAGACATCTGGTAGTCACACGCTTAGGTTCATCACCTCAATTTACAGCTGTCACGGTCCAGGCTCTGTGGGTTAAGCCAAACCAGCACATTCTTTCCACAGCCAAGCTCACCTCATCGCACAAGGCTGAAGTGCTTATATGCCAAGTGTCAACACAACATAATACATACATGGAATAATAAATACATGGAACATAGGAGGTTCCGCTTGAGTATGAGGAAAAACTTCTTTACAGTGAGGGTGACAGAGCACTGGAACAGGCTGCCCAGAGAGGTTGTGGAGTCTCAACACAACATAATGGGAACTTGCTCCTGTCCCAGCAGCCACCAGTACTAGAGCAAACTCCACCTTTTCAGGTTGGTAAGGAAAATACAGTGCTTGCTCCAAATCCTTAGTCTCAATGGATTTTTTTTTTTTTTTACTGGAAGAGCTTAAGTCTCAACCAGAATTCAGAGCAGCACCAGGGAAAACTGCTCAGGTGTCCCTTGGTTGCACACATACAGCACTTGCAGCAACAAAAATAGGGCTGGAACACAATGAATGCTGCAGTCCTCAGCTCCCAC